GCAGTTTTACTCTTAGGTATATTGTTGTTGTTGTTGTTAGGTGCCATTGTGTCGTTTCTGACTCGTTGTTGTTGTTACATTGTTATTCTGACTCATAGTGGCCCCATTATGAAAGAATGAAATGCTATCCAGCTCTTCCTCTTTTCACTGACCGTCTACTTTACCAACATGATGTCCTTCTCTAGGAATTGGTCCCTCTTGGTTACTACGTGTCCAAAGTAAGTGAGACGAAAGTCTCACCACCCTTACTTCTAAGGAATATTCTGGCTGTACTTCTCCCAAACAGTTTTGTTCCTGCTTCTGACAGTCCGTGCATATTCAGTATTCTTAGCCAGTGAAAAACTAGGTATATACACAAGAGAACTGAAAAGAACAAATCAATCAGATGCTTGTCCGACCCGTGTTTAATTGTAGCATTATTCACAGAGTTAAAAAATGGTGGAAACAACTCAAGTGCCCACCAGCAGATGAATGAATAAACAAACTATACTTAGCAGTCAGTGGAGAAATGAAATTCTGTTGTATGAACTCCAGGAATGATTTAAATCATTCCACCCAGGTGAATGCCCAGAACAAATGCACAGAGGCAGGAAGTAGATTATCAGTGGTAATGGGGGGCTAGAGATAGGGGAGTTTTTTGTTTAAAGGGTGAAGAAACTCTGTTTGGAATGATGAAAAAGTTTTGCTGCTATTCATTGCACAACATTGTGAATGCAGTTAATGCCACTGGGTTATACATAAAAAAGTGTTAAAATGGCAAATTTTATATTATCACAGTAAGAAAAAAAGAAAAAAAAGGTGGGTGGTGAAAGTCAGAAGCTGGATTAAGGGGCACTGACCCAATTGTAAGTCGCTGGAAGTGGTGACAAATGCCATCTCAGCCAGAGGATACAGTGGAAAATAAGAAAGTATAGTCCCTACTTAGATGGAGCGTGATTTTTCAAACCAACAGCTGAACGGTGTCTACTGGAGAAACTGAACACAGAAGCACATAAACAGATCCAGAGTATGAGAAGGAGCCAGCCAGACAGAGGGGAGAAACTTACATTGTTTCTACTTATTTGTTTCAGTTGAGAAACAGCAAGTGCAAAGGCCCTGGGGTATGAAAGTGTTTGTGGAGCTGAAGGAAGAAGAGGGAAATGGAGCAGGGTGGGTGGAGGAGGCTGGGGGGCAGAGAGCCTGCAGAGCCTTGGTGTCTTATGTAAAACCCCTGGGTCTTACTCTAAGTTCAGTTGGGAAGCCCTGAAGTTTGTTAATGTTATTTTGTTTTTAACTTTTAATTTTGATATAATTTTAGATTTAGGAAGAGTTATAAAGGTAGTACAGAAAATTCCCCCATGCCCCTCCCCTGGGTTTCCATAATGTTAACTTCTTACATAAGCATAACGCAATGGTCAGAATGCAGAGATTCACACTGGTACCATACTGTAATGCTAATGAAACTATAGGTTTTATTCAGTTCCACCGGTTCTACTCATTTTTCTATTCCAGGATCTGATCCAGGAATACTCCTGGCTGTGGTTTTGGTCTTCCTTTCTTCCCTGAAGGAGCTCTGGTGGTGCTGTGGCTAAACCACTAGCCTGCTAACTGAAGGGTTGGCAGTTCAAACCCACCAGCTGCACCTCTGGAGAAAGATGTGGCCCCGTCTGTTCCTGTAAACATGTATAACCCTGGAATCCCCATAAGGCAGTTCTGCTTTGTCTTAGAAGGCCACTGTGAAATCAGAATGGGGTCCTTGGAAATGGGTTTGGCTTGTCTTCCCTTGAAAAGTTTTAAGCGTTGGACCCCTGGTGTGGAGCTGTAGGGTCAGCACTGGACTGTGAACCACAAGGTCTGCAATTCAAACCCATTAGCTATTCTTCCGAAACCCTACACAGCCTTGCGATGACTTGGAATCGACTCGATAGCACTTTACAACAATCTGAACAGGTTTGCCTTTGACAGAGATCTCCCTGACAGAACAGTGACATTGGGACAAGGGGGCACATGTTAGGGGCTGTTGTGACCTTCCAGAGGAGAAATGAGGGTGGCTTGGATGGAGAGAGAGTGGAGGGGCAAGCAAACAGATTTGAATTGTATTTTAGGATGGCTGTGGGGTGAAGTTTTACTAAAAGTAATACAGAAGTGGCTGCAAGCATGCATTGACACAGAACTTCCAGAGGTTCAAGCTGGATTCAGAAGAGGCCGTG